CCAATTACTGCCACCAGTTGGAATTTCTGTTCCTTTATGCCAAGGGTACTCTTGAGAGATTATCGGTCCTTGGTAATCAGTATAGTCAAGAAAGGGATATTTTTAGATTTAAAAACAGAACAAAACCCATCCGAGCATATAATATAGTATAAAAATAATGTACAAATGAAATAGAACAATAACGCTGCCTCCTGTCACTGTATATAGCCTGTGAAGATACAGTATTTCTATTACATTTCTATCAATCACATACATTTTCCTTGCCTGTTCTAGTAACCAAGCCTTTTCAGGACTTGTCCTTCCCCCTCCCCCAGTCTTCATCAGTCTCCTTCTCAACACCCAATCTGCCCAGTTGCCTCTTTACCTCTTCCACCAATCAGGCACACAGTTTACCAGCCTGACCAGGAACAGAGAAGAAGAGGAGGAGGAGGAGATTGGATTTATACCCCGCCCTTCACTACCCAAAGGAGAGCAGGTTACAAACTCCTTTCCCTTCCCCTCCCCATAACAGACACCCTGTGAGGTAGGTGGGGCTAAAAAAGCTCTGACAGAAACTGCTCCTTTTCAAGAACAGCTGTGCTTGCCCAGAACTATAGCTTGCCCAAGGTCACCCAGCAGGTGCAAGTGGAGGCATGGAGAATCAAACCCGGTTCTCTCAGATTAGAGTCTGCGCACTTAACCGCTACACCAAACATTACTGAATCCTCATGCTGTTGTTAGCCCAAATGCTATGTGTTGCCCAAAATGAGCTGTCTCCTGTTTTTGTTGGAGAATTGGCAAGGAAGACAAAGCTTGAGAGAGGGAGGTAACTTGCAAGACAGGCTGCCAGCGTTTATGGGGATCTTTCCCTTCTAGAGAAGTTTTGAAATAATAAGAATACTAACTCACAAAAAGCATACAAGAAGCAACACACACACAAGACCAATTTAGAATTAAATGGAGTAGCAGGAATATAGGTGAGGATTGGAGATGATAGCTACCTATCCCGAAGAGCAGAAATCTGCAGAGAAAAGCTGTGAGGAGAACCAGTATCTCACAGGAAGACCCAAAAGGATGGGGGCGGGGTTTGTCAGTAGGTGCCCAGAACAAGTCACACAGCAGTGGAGCTGAGGCTGTCTAGTAATAGCAAAAATGGGACAAAGCGCTGATGAGTTTAGCTGAAGGTACAATGTGCTTGGGAAATGCTGAATGGGGTTCCCGAAAATTGACAAAGGAAATGGGAAATGTCTTGGGAGGAGTTCTTGATGCAAAACAAGTTTGAGTTTGAGACTCTGATTGCTTCCTCCAGTGATTCAGGGCATCAGTGGTTTCCACATTAACCAAAAATACTTCCTTTTGTGTTGGGTAGGAAAACTATCTGTGTTAATGGTTGCTTTTATGAAGAAAATGAGGGCAGGGGGAGAAAATGTAAGGTTGAGGCAGGTTTATTATTCTGGATATGTAGATGTTGGAGTAGAGGGAGAGGTCGTTGCAGGGCCAGAACAAGATTCTTACACCTTCCAGGGTCTTTGCCTAGACATGTCTGTGAGGCCTGCCAGGCTGGTTTCCATCTTGTATACATTTTGATTATGTTGTCCGGAATATGAACTCCTGGGGTGCTATAAAATGAAGGGTGTTCACTTCTAAATTGCCCCTCAGTAAAGAGAGGGAGGGTGATTTCCCACAAGCGCTGCTCCGCGCTCACTCCTTCTCTTTGCCCCGATGGTACGTGTCAATTTCACACAAGCTGCTGCGCGGCCGCATTTTGCCCCGCAGCTTCATGCAATTTCCCCTGCATCTACTCAATCCTCAAAAAACAGGATTGAGTAGATGCGGGGAAAATCGCATGAAGCTGCGGGGCAAAATGTGGTTGCGCAGTAGCTTGTGTGAAATTGACACGTACCATCGGGGCAAAGAGAAGAGTGAGCGCGGAGCAGCGCTTGTGGGAAATCACCCAGAGTCTGCCTGCTTACACTGTTGCTGTCTAAACTTACTCTCAGCATATTTATTTCTATTTCTTTTTAACATTATTGTTGTTGTTTTTTTAACGAAAGCCCTTGTTTCATAACCCCATTTTATCTTCTCCCATCAATCCAATGAGTTAGGGCAGGCTGGAGATAGTGACTAAACATGAGCTTCTTTGCAGTGAGAAACCTGAACCTTAGTCTTCCAGCAGTTGTTGAACACACTATTTGCTTCCATGCTGACTGTTTCAAAGAGTCATAATCTTTCAAAATGACAGGATAATTGACTGATCTCTCAGTTTCTTTTTTTAAAAAGTCTTACCCTCACAGTTGTACAAAAATTGGGAAAACAGGAAAACTGGAAGACAAGATGTTTCATGGGATAAGAAGAGTTTAGGAAGCCCGGAGTATCATGGGAAATATATTGTGGCTGCAAACTAGGGTTGCCAGGTCTCCACTGACCACCGGTGGGGGATTGGGGGGTAGGGTTGCCAGATCCAGTTTAGGAAACTCCTGGAGATTTGGGGATGGAGCCCAGGGAGGACAGGGACCTCAATGGGATACGATGCCACAGAGTCTACCCTCCAAAGTATCCATTTTCTGCAGGGGAACTGATCTCTGTAGTCTGGAAATGAGCTGTAATTCCAGGGGATCCCCAGGTCCCACCCGGAGGCTGGCATTCCTACAGCAGACCTAAAAACACTCTCCTGGGAGTAAGCACCATTCAATAAAATGTTACTCACATCTGAGTAGCCCTGTTTTGGATTGCTTTCCCAATCTAATTGCTTCCTGTATATTATATGGAGCAAAAAGTAAAAATGATAACTTATTTTTATTCCTTTTCTCATCACCAGGGATAGCTGGATCAGGACTCTTAGCTTGATCCAGCTTGTTACATTATTTGGGTAGCTCCTTTCCTAAGCAAACTTGGTGCTGCTAATTCCTTTAGAAACTGTTTTCATTAAGGAGTATAAGAACATAAACAAAACATTTTCTTTAGTCATACAACTGTGGGTTTTCTGAGAAAATAATTTGAACATTTCAAAAACATGACTGGCGGAGCTGGGCAAGTGGTCCGCCAGTAAAAGTCCCTTGTGGAGAAATTTGAAAGCAAGCTCCATGCTCTCCTGTCAGGTCTGTCTTGGGTGTTGCTGACCTAGCCTATAGGGTTGCTAACCTCCCGGTGAGGCCTGGAGACCTCATCTAATCTAATCTAATCTGATTTTACTGCCTAGAATTGTATCCATGTTGGATAGCAGAAACAATTTCTTTGGTGTGGAATAAAGGCTAGTTTTTCATTTACTACTTCTTTTGTGACTTCGAAAGACAAGCCCTCCCTCTTCTGGCTACGTAGAATATAACATGCCAAAAAATGGCGGGGGGGGGGGGGGGGGAGACTCTGAAACTGGAAAACACATTTACTTTCAAATTACCTATCTTCAGTAGTTATATAATAGTCACGTTCTTATCATGTATGCAGACTGATGAAGTGTACTCAATATATGGAGTAGTAGTATAGCCCAAGAAACTGGGCAAAATGCTGCTACTATACAATACTCCAAGCATTAACAAAATCATAGCATTTGTACAGGCATAAAAAAGAAAGAAAAAAGGCTCAGAATCATGATGCTGAGGAGATTACCACAAGTGCAATCTAGCTAACACAAAAAGATTTGGAAAATTTCTAGAGCATTGCTACAACATCATAACCTGACTTACAGATATGTATTCAGAAGTTCACATCACCCCCAAAGTTTTCAAGGCTTTCCAATGTTGTGTATTAGCTAGATTACAATTGTTTTTATTGCAGAGATTTAGAACATTCTTATACTTTTGCAATGATGCTATGATGATACTTTAGGGTATGTAATTGGATGTCAGCTATGCTGCCATGGTTGGTGGGGGAAGGGAGTTGGTAGAGTGATCATCATCCTTGAGTGTTAACTTGCATTTTCTCACTGTGCCTTATCTGGCAGCCTGACCTTGATGCTTTGCACTTTTGCCTCCCTGAGAACTTGTAGTCATTACTTCGAGCACACAAGGCTTGCACCTCTGATTGGCTTGCTCCCATCAGAGGGTCTCGCTTCAAACGCAGTATATCTTCCCCCTTCTCGCCTGTGGGGTTAGCCTTTACACAGAAACTGTATGCAAAGATGACCTGCTTCTACTGAACTCAATAAACTTGATCCTTCTGGAAGGAATGTTGTTGAGCCTGTTTGTTGTGGGACTCTGACAGAGTGTAAAGGCTCCATTAGCCCCGACCCCATACTTTGAAATGAGTGATGAGGAAAGCAAGGGTGTTCCAACTACTGTGATGGAAGAAGTCCCCACCACGATGGAGGGGACCCCCTTCACTACTATTGCAACGAGTTGGGGGCCCGGGTATGAGAAGCCATGGAGAGACCCATACTCATGGGCCCACTTTCCAACCGACGCCCGGAAGTCGTGGATTACCACTCCCCGGCCGGGGGGTGCCAGCTGCTACGACTACCTCTCCTACTATGAGAGGAGATATGACCACGGCAGGTCTGGCAGCGTGGGTGAGGACCCGATGGAGAAGATGCACTGTCAACTGCAAGCCCGAAAAGAGGAGTTACAGCAGGAGCTGCATGACATGATGCTGGACATCCCGTGATTAATTGCCACTACGGTGTAAGACAAGCTGTGTCTGCAGCAGCCAGGTGTGCCGGTGGCTCCTCCGGTGCAACAAGCCCCCCCAGGTCAAGCACTGCCGGTGCTGGTGCTGGTGCCAGTACCAGGGGGTACAGGTGGCCCTGTTGGGCTGTCTGCCCCAGTCCCAGAGGTACCATGGCTGAATCGCCCAAAGGAGCTCTTGGATACCACCTTTGACATCAACCCTGACAAGCTCACTTTCTTCCTACTGCAAATTTGGAAGTTCCTCTGCGACTGAGGCCATCTGTTCCCATCGGATGAGCACCGTGTGGACTACATCATCTTGCAGCTGACTAGTACGTGGGATTGCACAATCTGCACAGGCCTGAACTCCATGAGGTGCAGGCATTTATGTGGGCCTTGAGACAACAGTATGAAGACCCCATGGAGGCTAAGAAAGCATGCACCGCTCTGCGTGACCTGAAGCAAGGGAGTCGGTCAGTGCATGAGTACTCCAATGAGTTCAAGATGCATGTGGCCAAGATCCAAGGGTGGCCTGAGCCAGTGTTTGTGCAGCAGTATCGACTGGGGCTGAGCCACCAGATCCAAGAAGCCGTGCTGCGGAACGTGAACCCAGTCTCTCTGGTGGCCTGGGTGAGAGAAGTGGGAGACACAGAGAACTGCCTCCAGATGATTAAGATGACGTCTCCCAAAGTGTACTTGAAGACCCCCCATTCTAAGCTGAAGGAACCAGTGCATGACCAAAGGATGTGCCAGGGGCTCTGCCTCCACTGTGGAGAAGCCAGCCACTATGCAGCCTTCTGCCTGGCAGTGATTACACCACCCAACCCCAAGGTTCCTGAGCAGAAGGGGCCGGAGACACCTGTGAAAAAGGCAGTCTACACTCGAAGCTACCTCGGCCCTTCCACTAGGTGCCCAGTCCAGGGCCACCTCCTCCAGCAAAGATGAGAACCCCCAGCCGGCGGGAAAAGGCCAGGACCTGCTTTAAAAGGTGCAAAGCAGCAGGTCTGAGAAAAGTCTGCACCACGATCAGTGAGCAGTCACCTCCCTTTGTTTTTCGTGACTGTGTCAGTCCTTAACCTAGAAATTGGGGCCAAGGTGCGATTGAGGGCCCTCATAGACTCGGGGTGTGATTAGTCCTGCCATAGTGATGGGATAGGGGGTCCCAGTGCAGCAGTTACCTGGGCTCCTGATTTTCACCCAGATGGATGGGTCCACTATGCGTGAGCCCTGCAATTATCAGACAGTGCCGCTGATCATGGGGTCTCACTGGGAAACCCAGATGTTTGTTATAAACCCCATGGCCCACTTTTCTATGGTGCTGGGAAGCCCGTGGCTCCGAGCCCATGACCCTTACATTCAGTGGAGTGAGGGGACTGTCAAATTCATGGTGCCTGGCTGCAGGTTCCACTCCTGGCTCCCTGAGTGGGGGGATGAGCCTCCGTAAATCCCAGTTCATGCCTCCCTGGCTAAAGAGGAGTTAGACTCCATCCTGGCGGAGTACAGAGACTTGGCCAAGGTGTTTGAGGAGGAGGAGGCTGATGAACTCTCCCCCCCACACACACAATACTGACTGTGCCATTGAGATCTTGCTGGGGCACAAGCTGCCCAAAGGGAAACTGTACTCCATGAGCCCTGCGGAGAAGGAGTTATGGAAGTTCATTGATAAAAACCTGGCGTGAGTTTTATCCACCCTGCCTCCTCCCCGTTTGCCACCCCCATTCTCTTCCAGAAAAAGAAAGATGGGGCCTACGGCTATGCACAGACTACCAAGGCTTGAATGTGGTGTCAACCACGAACTCTTATCCCCTGCCTTTAATTAAAGACCTCCTAATGGAGGCTGCCAAGGGGAAAATCTTCACCAAGCGGGATTTAAGAGACACATACTTCTGGGTGCACATCAGAAAGAGGGATGAGCCCAACACTGCCTTCAATACCCTGTTGGGCCAGTTTGAATACCTGGTGATGCCGTTAGGGCTACAAGGAGTCCCTGGGGTGTTCATGAACATAATAAATGAAGTGCTGCCCAAACACCTCCTCAAGGGGGTGCTAGTTTATCTTGATGATATCTTACTGTACTCCAATGATAAATAATCACATGTGAAGTTGGTGAGGGAAGTTTTACAAACTCTCTATGACCATAAACTGTTTGCCAAGCTGTCAAAGTGTGAGTTCCACAAGACCCAAGTTGACTTCCTGGGCTATTGTAGATCTCCCCGGGGGTTGGAGGTGGATCCTTACAAAGTGGCAGATGTGCTGGGGTGAGAGGCCCCTTTTCCAGATGCCAACTTCAAGCATTCTTAGGATTTGCGAATTTCTATAGAAATTTTATCTCAAACTTTGCCCATGTGAGCTCACTTTGCCTCACAGACCTGCTTAAGACTAAGGGGAAGGGGCCGGGCAGCACTAAGCCAGGAGTGCGGCTGAGGTGGACAGCAGAATGCCAGGAAGTGTTTGATAAGTTGAAATTGCTGTTCATGTCTGAGCCAATGTTATGCCATCCTGATGAAACTAAGAAATTTATTGTACAGGTCGATGCCTCTGATGTTGCAATGGGGGGGCATCCTGCAAGAAGGGGTGGATGTGAAGCTCCACCCATTCGCCTACATCTCCAAAAAGTTTAATGCAACAGAACAAAACTGGGCAATTTGGGACAAAGAGGCAACTGTTTTAGGCTTGCAGTAATCACTTGGAGACATTGGCTGGAGGGTCCCGTTTGAGGTTTGGACGGATCACAAGAACTTGGAGGTGTTACGAACCCCTTGCAGCCTTAATGCTAAACAGCTCTGACAGGTGGATTTTTTCTCAAAGTTCTGCTTCACTCTCCAGCACTTCCCAGGGAAAGCGAACTCCTTAGCTGATGCCTTGTCCCACCTCCCCCAACACGCTATTCAGAGGGAGGAGATAGTGGACTCTATGTTTACGCCCTGAGGGACAGTCATCACTCGCAGCCAGGCGAGGGTGGGGTTGCAGGAGAAGGCTGAGCCGTGGACTGTCAAATTCAAAGAGGCTTTCTCAGAGACTGATCATAAAGGAACCGCAGCAGACCCTGCCATCCAGCAAGGAACTAACAGGTGCTGGTACAGCAGGCCTCATCTTTTTGTACCGCATGCCCTCCAGGGGGAGGTGATGCACTTTGGGCATGAGTCAAAACTGGCTGGGCACTTTGGGTACCTGAAAACTCTGCACTTGTTGCAACGCCAGATCTGGTGGCCTCACATGCGGGGGAACATCTCTCAATACATGGGCCCGTGCCAAACCTGTTTAATGAGTAAAAGGCACCCCGGCAAATCACCGGGGTTGCTCCGGCCATTGGAGACACCTAGCCAGCCCTGGGAGGTATTTTCCATGGACTTTATTACTGACTTGCCCCCTAGTAAAGGGAAAAAGTAATCTGGGTGGTGGTAGACCTATTCTCTAAGCAAGCCCATTTCATTTCGTTCAAGCAACTACCTAATGCAAAGACTCTTGCCAAGATGTTTATGCTACACATGGTGAAATTGCACTCGTTGCCTACCAAAATAATTTTGGACTGCGGAAGTCAGTTTGTTGCTAATTTTTGGAAAGAACTTATGCAGGTACTGGGCATTGAACAGGGCCTCAGCAGCGCCTACCACCCAGAGACTGACAGCCAAACAGAGCATGTTAATCAGGTGGTAGAACAATTTTTCAGATGCTTTACTAACTATCAACAGGATGACTGGGCTGAGTTATTGCCCTATGCGGAATACAGTTATAACAATGCCACCCAATCCTCCATGGGGGTGTCTCCTTTCAAGGAAGCGTATGGGTATGAAGGAGCCCCTCTACCCATGGTGGGGGGGTGGGAACCTGAAAACTTGGTGGCAAGGCCTCAGGGAACATTGGCTTCCTATCCAAAAGACTCTTGACAAAGCCAAAATGGATTATAAAACTCAGGCCAACAAGGGGAGGGCCCCAGGATGGGACATCCAACCTGGTGACTCAGTCTATTCTCCACAAATAACTTGAAAGGACTCCAACCATGCAGGAAACTTGGTTGGAAATACATGGGACCCTTTAAAGTATTAAGGAACATTAATGATGTGACGAACTGGAGTTACCAAAAACACTTAAAGGGATATACCCCATTTTTTCATTTCACTTTACTGAAGCGGGATCCTGGACCGAATGCCTGGAGACCCCATCCACCAGCCCCACCTCCACTGATAGTGAATGGTTAACCCCACCACAAGGTTGCCCACATCTTGGACTCCAAACTGAAATGAGGGCGACTCTTCTATTTGGTGCAGTGGAAGGACTTTGACCCTTCGCATAATTAATGGATTGATCACTGTCATGTCCGTGCTCCTAAATTGCTACACGCATTTCATAAGCTGTACCCTGACAAACCAGGTGGGGGGGGCCTTCGGAGGGGCAGAATGTCAGCTATGCTGCCATGGTTGGTGGGGGAAGGGAGTTGGTAGAGTGATCATCTTACTGTCCTGGAGTATTAACTTGCATTTTCTCACTGCGCCTTACCTGGCAGCCTGACCTTAATGCTTTGCACTTTTGCCGCCCTGAGAACTTGTAGTCGTTAGTTCGAGCACACAAGGCTTGCACCTCTAATTGGCTTGCTCCCATCAGAGGGTCTCGCTTCAAACATAGTATATCTTCCCCCTTCTCACCTGTGGGGTTAGCCTTTACACAGAAACGGTATGCAAAGATGACCTGCTTCTACTGAACTCAATAAACTTGATCCTTCTGGAAGGAACGTTGTTGAGTTTGTTTGTTGTGGGACTTTGACACTGGAAGAGGCATTACAGTGATGCTGCTTTCCCCCTCATTTTTCTCCTGCTGTTCCATCGTACAGCAGTATGAGCATGGAGTCCAAGGGTGGGAGGTCTCTAGCTGTAGCAGGAGACCTGGCTACCCTAAACAATAGACATATGGTGTGATCCTAAGTAGAGTTATACCTTTCTAAGTCCATAGAGGTCACGTTATGATAGCACTGATGGTGATTGCGTAAGCCATAGCATACATTCATAAAAGGGCTAGATTTTCAAAATGATTGTTTTATTAAACTGTGTTCCTGTATGGTGAAAAGTTAAGGTCTGATTTATTTTTAATACTACACATCATCTATTACTATTCTACGGTTACTTCACCATAGTTACTATTGTTTTGTTCATTATGCAGATTTCTGGTACCCTGTCATCATTGTTTGGCCTACAGATTGGTAAGTGATACATGTCTTTTGTTTTGTGGCAACTACCTTATAAAGTGTAGACACTTGGAAAAAGGTTATCACTTGAGTGAGCAAGAGGCTAAATGTGGGGTTGATTGATTTGTGGGGAATGTGAAGGATTTGTGGTTGAACATGTTGTTGTTTGTTGATTGTAAGAATAAGATCAGCACTGTACCCCCCTACCCCCCTCCCCAATATAAATCCAGGATTTATTTAGGATGTGGGCACTTACCACTCTTCATATTTGGAAATCTAGACCAAATCAGTCGCATTACCTTTTCAATTAAAAAAAAATGAAATCAGAAAGATGCAGAATTACACAGATAATAATGACTTAAGGCTAAGGGGCTATCCTACTGTAAAAATAACATATTCAGTGGGCTGCAGCAGGAAGGGAGATCACCCAAAATAGCCATCCCCTTTTGAGAAAACTTAAGTGCCCTGAAATCTTCTGAACAGCATGGTGGGATACAGTCCATTGCTTCCAATTATATACCACAGAGCAAGACATTGGGCTGAAATGTGTCTGACAATTCTCTAAATGCACTGTAAACTAAATGTTGATTTTATTTACAACCTGTATAATAGAATTCCTTTATTTACATTTATATATTTTATTAAGTGCTCTTTTTTTGATTTGGTGGCTTGTTTGGTTAAATTGTGTCAACTATGAATAACTTCTATTATTTAGTGTGGGACCAATGTTAAAAATGGTGGATATTTTACAATACACTTGGATATATTTACACTTTAACACATCATAAACTGACTTTTTGGGAAGACAGCAGAAGAAAATTTTGCTGTCCTGTATGAAATAATCTTTACTGCTACTGGTTTGCAGTCCTATATACGTATATCTGTTAGAAGTTATTCATGCTTCAGTCTTTTAAGACATTATTCATGCCTCAGTCAGTGGTGTTCAGTTTAGATAGTCTTGCACTGTAGTTATCTGTCCGATTTCTGGTGGTGGAAAGTGCCATCAAATCCCATGGGGATTTCAAGGCAAGAGATGTTCAGAGGTGGTTCACCATTGTCTGTCTCTGTGTCACAACCCCAGTATTCCTTGGAGGCCTCCCATCCTAATACTATCCAGGGCTGACCTACTCAGCTTCCCAGATCTGATGAGACTGGCCTAGCCTAGGCTATCCAGGTCAGGGCACCCTAAATAATAATTCCCTATTAGTTCATTGGTTACTTGTAATTCTTGAGCATTCTAACAGTGCCATCCTAAGAACATCTAATCAGAGGAGCCCAGATGTTATATGACTGTAACCTCATTCATTCTTCTATGCCTATAAATATGTTTACTTTGTGTGTATGTGAAATATGCTTACTGTTTATATGATTCAATATGTATCTGTAATTGTCTCTCAGTTTCTTTGATGTAAATTCCTAAAAATACCTTGCTAAGGACACACACCAGTAGAGATTACCTAAGCACACATGCTTTGAATGACGATATTTCTAAGTTCCATTTTGGAAGCCGAAGAAGCAGATGTTTTGAGTAACCTTTGCCTGAGAACCTACTGAGCAGCAGACAGTACTAAGCTTGATGGACCAATGGTTTTACTTGGTCTGAGACTATTTCATGGATTTGCTATCTTGATATATTCTGGTTTGCTCCTACAATTATTTTGTTCCAAGTATGTTTGCCACACCTTTCTACTTATTTCAGCCGAAGGAATATAAGTATGATTAGGGGTCATTTCGTAGAAAAAGAGGTGCAGGAGCTCATTAGCATAACTTCTTTGCATATGTCACACACCCTGACATCACTGGAAGTGTGTCAGAAGGCAACACCCAAAGCTCAGGATCCACCCCAAAAATCTCCAGGTATTTCCCAACTCAGAGCTGACGAGCCTACCTGGAGAAAAACTGCTTCGGCACAAAGAAAATAGTCAAGTTCAGGGGGTGTACATTGGTCTCTCCTCCTCCATTTGGTCCTCACAATGACCCTTAGAGGTAGACTAGGTTGAGAGAGTGACTTGCCCACCATCACCTAACAATCTTCATAGCGCAGTCAGGTATTTGAAACTGGCTCTCCCAGATCCTAGCCTAAACATCTGACCACTACACCTACAGGGTCTCCCAATAGTTCCAGGCTACACACCGGCCACCAGAGAAAGTGCGAACAAAGGGCTCAGCGGTTCAACATAACAGATTGACTTGAGATGAGTGTGCAAGGAAAGTAGCAGAGGGGAAAGGCTGGTCTTCCCTTGCTAAGGTAGAGGTGATGTAGTATCAGCTCTTGGATCTCTGGCTAGTGACAAATGCCAGAATGTCCTCCTCCCTCCACCTTTACTTTCAGGGAGGGAGAGAAGGAAGCAAGCAGTTTGCCACTGCTCATTCTCTTTCCAATGGCTGCAACTTGTCTTCTACTTGCCACAATGGGGGTGGGGGTGAGCGATGTTCTGTCAAATTTCCCCCCCTCTCCTGAGTGGAGCAGTTCACATCCTAAGCAAAATGTAACTGCTGTAATCTTAATTACCTCTGCAGGACAGATGGCAAAGTTTAAGTGTTTTTACTCCCCCATTTTAAAAGCGCCATGTGCAGCTCCCAGATCAAAATGCACAAATATTTAGTAGAATGAGCACTGAGAGAGGAAGATTTATCCAGTCAACTTGTGCAGCTTTTTGCAGATGGGCAAGCATCTCCTCTTGAACTTCTGCCTGCTGCATATCTTTTAAGGGCCTGGAGGACCCACAAAAAGGTGGTGATCTTTACAATTACAATTAAGGATGTGCAGTAAACACCTCACAAGAAAAAGCAGAAAAAAGTCTTATGGGAAAAAACAATATACTGAACACATACCAATCAATGTTGGATCAGGCCAAAGAGATATGGGGATGGCTTTGATTTCGAAGTTTCAGCAGAAATTTTTAAAAAGGATGAAACACAACAGCTGTTCAGTTTCCAAATCTAAATAGGCACTGTAAAAATAAAATAAAAATCACATTTCTGCTTTCTCTACCATATGCCCCCAATCTAAACATACTGCCAAACACCTGGGATTCTCAAGGAGCAACTGAGAATGCAGTCTTACAATGATAATAAAAGCTTGGGACTACAGTTGCCAGGTCTGGGTTGGGAAATACCTGAAGACTTTGGGGGTGGAGCCAGAAGAGGGCAGGGTTTGGAGGGGAGGGGCCTCGGCGTGGTACAGTGCCACAGAGTCCACCCTTCAAAGCGGCCATTTCCTCCAGGGGAGCGGATCTCTGTCAGCTGGGGATCAGTTGTCAAAGCAGGAGACCCCCAGACCCCACCAGGAGGCTGGCAACCCTACTTGGGACCCACACACACACCCTTTTTAAAAACCACTCAGTGCAAGCAAGGTTTTCATTATGGTTAAATGTTGAGATGCTCTTATTCAAGGCAGCATTTTCATTCAGCAGATCAATAACCAGCTAGTTATTCAATGTTACTTCCCTATAAGGCTTTCTTCCCAATAGAATAATGCATCTCTTCATATTTGTTCATGTCAATGGATCAAGAAAAAAAGGTCTCAATGTCTTCCCTTTTTAAGAACATAAGAACATAAGAGACGCCAATGTTGGATCAGGCCAAAGGCCCATCCAGTCCAACACTCTGTGTCACACAGTGGCCAGAAATACCAGTGCCATCAGGAGGTCCAGCAGTGGGGCCAGGACATTAGAAGCCCTCCCACTGTTGACCCCCCCCCCAAGCACCAAGAAGACAGAGCATCACTTGCCCCAGAGCCCCTAGCTATACCTTGTGGCTAATAGCCACTGATGGACCTCTGCTCCATATGCTTATCTAATTCCCTTTTGAAGCCGTCCATGCTTGTAGCACCCACCACTTCCTGTGGCAGTGAATTCCATGTGTTAATCACTCTTTGGGTGAAGAAGTACTTCCTTTTATCCGTTCTAACCCGACCGCTCTGCAGTTTCATGGAGTGCCCACGAGTTCTTGTATTGTGAGAAAGGGAGAAAAGTACCTCTTTCTTTACCTGCTCTTTCCCATGCATAATCTTATAAACCTCGATCATGTCACCCCTCAGTCGTCTTTTCTCCAAGCTAAAGAGCCCTAAGCGCTTTAACCTTTCCTCATAGGGAAAGTGTTCCAACCCTTTTATCATTCGAGTTGCCCTTTTCTGCACTTTTTCCAAAGCTATAATATCCTTTTTAAGGTATGGTGCCCAGAACTGCACACAGTATTCCAAATGAGGTCTCACCATTGATTTATATAGGGGCATTATTATATTGGCTGATCTGTTTTCAATACCCTTCCTAATAATCCCCAGCATAGCATTGGCCTTCTTTATTGCAGTCACACACTGTCTCGACATTTTCAGTGAGTTATCCACTACAACTCCAAGATCTCTCTCTTGCTCAGTCTCTGCCAGTTCAGACCCCATCAATGTGTATTTATATTTAGGATTTTTGGCTCCAATGTGCATCACCTTGCACTTGGCCACATTGAACCCCATTTGCCATGTTGACGCCCACTCACCCATCCTTGACAGATCCCCTTGGAGTGCCTCACATAACGTATGCAACTCCATAAGAACCTAAAGGATCAAGTGAATGTACAGCCAGTTATATTTCTCCTGCTTCACGCTCTGGGAAGGCGGCGGCAGCTGGGGCAGGCTCATCAGGACGTGGGTGAAGCGCTCCTCCAGCTTGCTGGCACTGGGCATGGGCTGCTTGGGAGCAGTGGGCTGCTTGGGGGGGCAGCAGTGAGGAGGCAGCGCTCCAGGGAAGAAGTGTGGGCCACTGATGCCGCTTTCCTCTCCTCCTCCTTGCCCCCAAAGAGGCAGCTTTTTCTCACTGCCGCGGCTCTCCTTGCGGGGAGCGACCTTGCCCGCAGCCCCCTTTGCGCTCAGTTGGGCATGGAGGCAGGAGGAGGAGGCTGCGGGAGGAGCATGCTGCTGCTGCTGCCATCGCCCTGGCTCTTGCTGTGGCTGCTGCCAGGCTGGGCGAGCAAGCTGCTGCAGCAGGGCTGCGGGCTCTCTCCCCCAGGCCGGGGCCATG